GGACACAATTAAGATTTCCATTGCGAAGCGGCTTAGCTCATGTGAGGTGTTACGAGCTGCAGGAGCAGGTACGGAGGACTGCACGTCGATGAAGCAGCAGAACTCCCTTTCTTGTCTCCGCACATTGATTCACACTGAGGTCATTAGCCAGTGCTACTTTGTTCGGAACCTGCACTTCTAAAAACCTGGAGTTGATTCGATCCCTGTGATGTGTTTTCCGGTATGAAATCCTGCATGTTCTCCTGTGATGGATTATGAAAATCTGCATTATCCTGCAGCAGGAGGTTTTCTGTCTGTTCTTTGTAAGTGGTTTAAGACAGGAATTTCCTGAATCCAGTACTTGAAGGTTTTTTTTATAAAGTTACTGAAGGAAGTTACTAGAGCACTGTCCCCATCACACCTCACAGAATGTTTAGACCCATTCATTTTGTCATTTAGATCTGAATTCTTTCTCTTTCTTTTTAATGCAGTCCTAGCTATGAAGCAGCACGAGTGACCAGAAACTGGATTTGACTAAAGTGGCTAACTTTTTCCAAGCAAATACAGAACACCTTTTTTCATTCCGCCCACCTTGAGCTATAGTATGGTGGCAGCAGCGTGGGTTCGTGGCGAGGCCTTTGGACTAAGCAGTGGAAGGCTGTGGGTTCAAATCCGCAGTGGGACGTTGCTGTAGTTCCCCTGTGTGAGATTCTTCAGCCTTACCTGGCTCCAGTGTGATGCCCACCTGTGCACATGAGTACAAATATAAGATGCTTTGGATAGAAGCATCATTGAAGTGAATAACTTCAGATGCTTTGTTTGTTGTTTTGTTTTTGTAGTTCTATGGCAGCTCTCAACTCATGACTTACAGAAGTCTGGCGAGACCTTTACAGTTGCCAAACACACACTGATCGGCTTGGAAAATAGGGCAGGTCACGGACAGGAGGGGCCGGGAAGGCAGACTGGAGATCCACAGACTGCCTCCACTCCCGGGAGACCTGGTCTTCCCAGTGTCCAGGGGGAAAGTCGGAAGTCGTTCTGTACTGTTCGCGTGAGTCGGATGGTTGTGCAGTTAAAATGCAGCTGCAGGCTGAATATAGCAATTCAGATTCAAAGGACTGTATTGGCATGATGGATGGATTAGCCTTAATTATAACAAAGACTACTGTC